TTAAAAGAGACACGTGTCTGACAAATGCAATAGAGAACAGAAACAAAATGGGCGTTCGTTTGTGGGAAATGGACAAATGTTCAGATTAAAATAGCACTTTCTAAACCCTGAACTGGAATATATTCAAACCTTGCACAATGTACGGCCGGAATAGCTGATCTGTACAGAGTTCCCAGCTCTGATCATGGAACTTAGTGAATAAACTGAGGTCTGTGGTGAACAGAAAGTGGAATTTGGGAATAGTGGTATTAAAAGCTTTGGACATTTTACTTTGTGTTCCTTTTCCTCCCCCATTCCTGTCTCGTTGTGTTACTGGCAGGGCATTGCCCAATTGTGCAAGTCCAAGCTGACTTGTCTGGGTAGGAGGCTGGAAAAGCGATTTATCCCTCCATGCAGTGCTTTACAGATGGCTGTGAGGAGGGCAGGGCTGAGGTTCCAGTGAAGAAGCTTGTGACGAGACCAATCTCGCCACATTGCATTGGAGAAGCCTGGTTGCTCGCCTGCTGCCTCTGGACTATGGCCCCCTGTTAAAAGACTTTGTTTCGCCAGCAGAAAAGCTGTATTCGTGCTTTTCTGCCGGTTGTTCGGTAGTTTTGTTTGAATGTGTTATACCCCAGATAGGAATCCCATGGAGCCCATTCGTATGAAACTGACTGTAAAGACTTTGGCTCCATGGCTATTAAACTGTATTCGTGTGGTCTGAGCGCCATTCACTTAATAATGTGCGCTCAGACTTGAGATATCTGGGGATATGTTAAATGTATAGTTTTAATGTAATGTGTCTTACCTGGTGTATTTTAACAGTAATGCTTGTTTTAGTATCCCCATGTGCATAATGGAGATTTGCCTTTGTCTTGGGAGATAATTGAATTACTTCTCAATTATCTCCCAGGGCAGAGGGGAGGAAGCCAGGATGCATTGTGGGAATATACTGTGACTGTGTGTCCTATTTGTCTGCTTGTCTGTCCCTTGTCACAGTCTCCCATTTGGTCCCCTAGGGGAGTGTCCACCAGGTGGGAGACCTGCATAAATACTGGGCAGGTAGCCCTCATTAAACAGACCACTGCTTGACCCTCAACACGGAGCTCTGTCTCGTCTTTGGGGGGGATTTACTGTATGCTGTTAGAGACTGATTGCCAGGAGTGTAAGCCGCTTGGGTGCTTTTCCTGTTCGTCTGCTAGCAGCTATTCGTGAGGTTCCAAACAGTAAAAAAAAACTATTGGCCCCCACCCCTAAACGACGGGTGGGGGCCCTAAAGTAAAATAAGAGGGGAGACCTAATGTCCCCCCCCGGCCCCACCCCTGGGGGCCCGAAGTCAATTCCCCCCCCCACCCAAATAAAAAGTCCCTACCTACCCCCCTCACCCTAAAAAATAGTGAGGGGGGAATACAATAACTAACCTGTAAAATAAAATTAAACTTACCATTCGACGTCTTCTTTTTTCTCAAATCTTCATTTTTCAGCCCCAAAAAAGGCCAAATAAAAAACCAACATAACCGTCGAATTGAAAATAAAATAAAAATCCCGAGCGCAAAAAAAAAAAAAACCCGCCGAAAAATAAAAAACCTGAGCGCAAAAAAATAATCCATCTTCACCCATGAAGGGCTCCACGCAGACTGAGCTCCGCCTTGCCCTGCCCTGCAATTAGGCTAAGAACACTCTGATTGGTGGGTTTAAGCCAATCAGAGTGCTCTGTGTCATTTTACACAGCGTGGGGGCCAATAGTTTTTTTGGGGTTTTTTTTTTACAGTGAGCAGCCTGTGTGTTTAGTGGACATGCCCCTACTCGCGGTATAGCGAGTAGGGGCATTGGGGAGATTTTAATCTCCCTTGTGCTATTATGGGGGTCATATTGACCTCCATAGAGTGAGGGGGAGCCTGGAGGGGCTTATGAAGGGGTGGGGAGCACTGCTCCCTGCTGCTTCTATAGTTACATATTACAAGGAGAGAGCTGAGTGCCGGTAGCTCCCTCCTTGTAATAAACTGCACGAACAAACGAACACTGATACATAGTGTTTGTTTGTTCGGCTGATCCTTCTATTCACTCATTCGTCTGTCTGATGAATGAGTGAATGGATGAAATTCCCATTCACATGTCCAGGTGTTTCACTGGGCATGTGCGGGAATCTCACAGTCTGTCTACTGTGGGCAGATGACGTGTCCCACAGGGACTTCATCTACCCACACAAAGATGGCGGCGCCCTGAATCAAGATCGGGGCGGAAAATAAGGAATAAAAAATAGGTAATGTGGGGGGCTTAGGGGCATTTGGGGGTGACTAGGGTGTTAGATGTAGTGGAGGCCGGAGGGGGGGTTAAAAAAACAAAACAGGATTCGGCATGACAGTGCCGCTTTAATCTGTATACTGTATTCATTTTGGTCACTACGACAGCACCAATTCTGTGAAATGCATGTTCCGTGTGTGCCCCCAATTCTGTTTTTGTCTTTACTATTTCTTTATATCAATTGATCTTTTACTGTGGAAATGGTTTATAGTAAACTAGAAAAGCTACAATTTCTGGGGAAATTGTGTGAAGTGTTCTTGCTTCCACCAGTAGTCTACAATAGGGACAAATTGCGCCACAAGAACGACGATATTCCGTGAACCATTCGGCGAAACGTTCCACAAAGTAATAGCAATCCGATCGAGAACAATCTGCACGTTTTGGTAAATTTTTGTCTATGTGGTGTAAAAACTGTGGGAGGAGTTAGGGTGGCAAATTTGGCTATAACAATAATAATAATAATAACTAGAAAAGCTACAATTTCTGGGGAAATTGTGTGAAGTGTTCTTGCCTCCACCTGTAGTCTACAACTGGAGTGGGCGGAGTAACTGTTATCATTTACATAGTACATTTAATTGCAACGTTGTTGCACAGTTACATTAAACCATACATTTATAAAAACATTAGCAGGTGTTCAAAAGGCTCTGTCTATGACATCACTTGCTGCTGCAGCCTGGCACAGGTCAGAGTATTTTGGCGGTTGCCATCTTCAAACGGTCGTATCTTAAAAACTATAACTCCTACAGCGAAGAGCTTTATATTGTGAGAATCATTTTGATGCACGTTTTGGTAAATTTTGGTCTATGTAGTGTAAAAACTGTGGGAGGAGTTAGGGTGGCAAATTTGGCTATAAGAATAATAATAAGTGACCTTAATGAGCAGCAAAGCCAGAGGCAGTAACTGGAACCTCTGGGCTTATCCTCTCAATAGTGACCAGAGCTTTATGGACCATCACCCTGTATACACGGTATTCGCACAGTTATTCATTACAAGAGGCGGAGCGTGAATAAAACCATGTGATGATTTATCGTTGTTGTTTATAATTTTCGTTTAGAACACCCCAGACTTATATTTTCACTCTATTTGACTCTAGATAATGACCTGTTAATTTAATTCCTTTTTTACTCTGGCATTTTTAATATTTATTTATTTATAAAATATTTTACCAGGAAAGATACATTGAGATTTCTCTCGTTTTCAAGTAGATATTTGTGGTACCTTTGTGATATCTCCCTGAATCTGGATTACTCCAGGCAGAGGAGCCATAGCCTGCAGATCCACAGCCACAATCTTCACCTCCGATTCCTGACCTTCAGAACCACTGTGAAACAAAATCGAACTTCATTAATTATCAAACGTGTACTCTGCCAACCACACCCATGAGAGTAGTCAGAGTATGCCACCCTAAAGGCACTCACCGCAGTTTCCTGCTGAGAACTTGACTCCAACTGCCAGGAGCAGCACATAGATCCACGGCTCTGTGAACCCCTGAGAGAAAAGCAAACACCATGGTCAACACTGAAAGTTAGATCCACGTCACCCCAAATCTAAACACCACTATTTAATGATATCGCCCCGAATCTAAACACCGCTATTTAATGATATCGGCCTGAATCTAAACATCGCTATTTCATGATATCGCCCTGAAATTAGACATCGCTATTTAATGATATCGCCCTGAAATTAGACATCGCTATTTAATGATATCGCCCTGAAATTAGACATCGCTATTTAATGATATCGCCCTGACCTGGACTTTCAAAAAACCTAGAATGGAAAGCGAATTTATAACGACATGTAGCCACTCAGACAGACACGATACATCCAGATGTTAATAATTACCGCGGAATAGTCTGTATTCTTCATCCAGCTGCAGTAGTTTGAAGGCGCTGCGAGCTCTCCATCCTTCCTCTTTGGCTAAGCGGTAATAGATATCTCGTTTGTCCTTCGATGAGCGTCCCATGGTGTCTGGATGTTACCTGTCACAAAAAATTACATTAAATGAGTGTCGGAGGTGGGGCTGGGAGTAGTAGGGAGGGAGAGCGGTAAGCTGGGGGGGGTAGGTAGTGGGGGGAGGGGCGC